GCTCAGGTTTGAGAATTGCGTGAGTTATTAACGTACTTGCTTTTAGCAGTCTGCAGCATCTTCTTGGTTCTTTCGGTAAAGTCACGTAGAAGGGAAGTAATAAAATAATAAAAATAAAACATAATAAAACAATTCTCACGACGTTTCGGCCACAACGCAAGCAGCCGTCCTCAGGCGAAGAATGAAACACCACCAAGCTTGGAGCGTATATTTAAGCTGGGTTAGAGAGGGGGGAGGTGGGAAGAAGAGCGCCTAAACAAAATAATTTGCATATCAAGAGGAATTCAGCATATGGAAAATGCGTAGGAGGTGGGCGGGGGGGGGTTCCAAATCAATACTATGCCCGTGCATTATGCAGGATTAGCAGCATCAAAGGGGGGGGGGGGGAGGGGGTAGCATTAACAAAGGAAAGGAATGTTAATAGTATGTAGCTGCAGTTACTAAACAACCACGTAAAAAACTAAAGTATAAACTGCATAACAAACTAAAGTATAAACTACATAGCATCATCAGTATACTTACTATACTCTACAATAAGCTGAGTTACTAACAGTAAGTAATACATAAAACATTTCTACGTTGTAAAAAATTATATAATATGCTTCCATCTAAACTTTATTCTCTTACATCACACGCGTCTATACCGTACTATATACTGCCATAGGCAAACCCAACATTAAATTACATACTGTATTGCTATAAACCACTCTATACCTTATACATTTTAATATAACACTATGTATTATTCTACCCACCCTAATGTGTATCAAAATGGTTTATTACGTCCTTCCAGTGATTGCTAAGCCAGAATCCATCTTCTCGGTTAAAATTGTCTCTGTGTTTGTATATGTGGATCGCCTCATGAACGAATCTCTCATGATAGCCAGATGGCTTGCAGAGAACCTCTGTCTTGGAGAAGTCAATGTCATGTGAGCCCACTGAGTTGTAACAGTGATCTGCCACGGCTGAGGTGTTTGTCCTACCGTGTTTCAGGTCAGCTTTATGTTCACGGATGCGGTCCGAGACATGTCGTTTGGTTTCCCCAATGTAACTGCTACCACAGAGGCAACTTAGTTTGTAGACACCAGGGTACTGTATGTCTGGAACCACATCTTTTACAGACGGTACCAGATCACGGATTTTATGTACTGTGTTGAATCGGACCTGGATCTTGTGTTTAATCAGGATTTTGGAGATCTTTTTTGTGACCCCAGCAATGTAGGGTAAGGTGATGGTCTTGAAAGGCTCCTCAACAGGATCCTTCTTGATGGTTGGAGTGATGGCTTTGCGGATTGTGTAGTCGGAGTAACCATTAGCCTTAAGAGCTTGGCGTACGTGTTTGAGTTCACTGGAAATGTGTTCATGGTCGGAGATGCATTGGGCTCTATGATATAGAGTCTTGATGAGGGAATTCTTCTGGGATGGATGGTGGTGGGAATCCGGTTTTAGATAACCATCCGTGTGGGTGGCTTTCCTGTAGACAGAGTGGCTCATTGAACCATCAGGTCTCCTTTTGATTAGGACATCCAAAAAGGGTAGCTTGCCATCATTTTCGACTTCCATGGTGAATCTGATGGCTGGGTGTATGGAATTGATGTGGTCGAGAAATTGGTCTAGAGCAGGCCGGCCATGTGGCCAGATGACAAAAGTGTCGTCTACGTACCTCTTCCATAAGGTCGGGCGTAGAGTGGCAGTCTGGATGGCGTCCGTCTCAAATTTCTCCATGAAGATGTTGGCTACAACCGGAGATAGGGGGGAGCCCATTGGGGTGCCCTCAATTTGCTTGTAGAAGGTTCCATTCCAGGTGAAGTATGTATTGGTTAAGCAGTGTCTCACCAGGGGGGGTACCCCAGCATTCAGTCCTTGATGAACCAAGTCTTCAATGATTGCGATGGTGTCAGGCACAGGCACCTTGGTGAACAAGGAAACCACATCAAAACTGACAAGCAGGTCGTCTGGGGACAGGGCAATCCCCTTGATTGTCGATACCAGGTCAGTAGAGTTTAGTACTGCAGAGGTGGTTTTTCCAGTGAAAGGCCGTAGGATTTCGGACAGAAAACGAGCCAGTTTGTAAGTGGGGGAGTTGATAGTAGAGACAATGGGACGAAGAGGTGTATCTTCTTTATGTATCTTTGGCAAGCCGTACAATCTTGGTGGCCTGGCTGCAGAAGGTTTCAACGAGAACTGTTTGGTCTGATCAATTAATGCGGTTGAAGCAGAAATGATGTTGGTTTTGGAGACGAGGCTGTTGGTGGGGTCTCTTTTTATTTTTGTATAGCTGCCATCGTCGAGTAGTTCTTGAATTTTGTTGTTGTATTCTATTTTGTCCATGATGACAGTGGCATTGCCTTTGTCGGCTGAGAGGATGACAATGTCATCCCTCTTTTTTAATTGAGCTAATTCAAAACGCTCATCTTTGCTGATGTTGCTAGCTGGCATCTTAGCGTTTTTGAGGGTTATAGAGATTTCAGATCTTGCTACGTCTGCAGCGATGTGACTCAAGCCCTTGAGAGCTACATCTACTCGAGCTCTCAAGGGCTTGAGTCACATCGCTGCAGACGTAGCAAGATCTGAAATCTCTGTAACCCTCAAAAACGCTAAGATGCCAACTAGCAACATCAGCAAAGATGAGCGTTTTGAATTAGCTCAATTAAAAAAGAGGGATGACATTGTCATCCTCTCAGCCGACAAAGGCAATGCCACTGTCATCATGGACAAAATAGAATACAACAACAAAATTCAAGAACTACTCAACGATGGCAGCTATACAAAAATAAAAAGAGACCCCACCAACAGCCTCGTCTCCAAAACCAACAACATCATTTCTGCTTCAACCGCATTAATTGATCAGACCAAACAGTTCTCGTTGAAACCTTCTGCAGCCAGGCCACCAAGATTGTACGGCTTGCCAAAGATACATAAAGAAGATACACCTCTTCGTCCCATTGTCTCTACTATCAACTCCCCCACTTACAAACTGGCTCGTTTTCTGTCCGAAATCCTACGGCCTTTCACTGGAAAAACCACCTCTGCAGTACTAAACTCTACTGACCTGGTATCGACAATCAAGGGGATTGCCCTGTCCCCAGACGACCTGCTTGTCAGTTTTGATGTGGTTTTCTTGTTCACCAAGGTGCCTGTGCCTGACACCATCGCAATCATTGAAGACTTGGTTCATCAAGGACTGAATGCTGGGGTACCCCCCCTGGTGAGACACTGCTTAACCAATACATACTTCACCTGGAATGGAACCTTCTACAAGCAAATTGAGGGCACCCCAATGGGCTCCCCCCTATCTCCGGTTGTAGCCAACATCTTCATGGAGAAATTTGAGACGGACGCCATCCAGACTGCCACTCTACGCCCGACCTTATGGAAGAGGTACGTAGACGACACTTTTGTCATCTGGCCACATGGCCGGCCTGCTCTAGACCAATTTCTCGACCACATCAATTCCATACACCCAGCCATCAGATTCACCATGGAAGTCGAAAATGATGGCAAGCTACCCTTTTTGGATGTCCTAATCAAAAGGAGACCTGATGGTTCAATGAGCCACTCTGTCTACAGGAAAGCCACCCACACGGATGCTTATCTAAAACCGGATTCCCACCACCATCCATCCCAGAAGAATTCCCTCATCAAGACTCTATATCATAGAGCCCAATGCATCTCCGACCATGAACACATTTCCAGTGAACTCAAACACGTACGCCAAGCTCTTAAGGCTAATGGTTACTCCGACTACACAATCCGCAAAGCCATCACTCCAACCATCAAGAAGGATCCTGTTGAGGAGCCTTTCAAGACCATCACCTTACCCTACATTGCTGGGGTCACAAAAAAGATCTCCAAAATCCTGATTAAACACAAGATCCAGGTCCGATTCAACACAGTACATAAAATCCGTGATCTGGTACCGTCTGTAAAAGATGTGGTTCCAGACATACAGTACCCTGGTGTCTACAAACTAAGTTGCCTCTGTGGTAGCAGTTACATTGGGGAAACCAAACGACATGTCTCGGACCGCATCCGTGAACATAAAGCTGACCTGAAACACGGTAGGACAAACACCTCAGCCGTGGCAGATCACTGTTACAACTCAGTGGGCTCACATGACATTGACTTCTCCAAGACAGAGGTTCTCTGCAAGCCATCTGGCTATCATGAGAGATTCGTTCATGAGGCGATCCACATATACAAACACAGAGACAATTTTAACCGAGAAGATGGATTCTGGCTTAGCAATCACTGGAAGGACGTAATAAACCATTTTGATACACATTAGGGTGGGTAGAATAATACATAGTGTTATATTAAAATGTATAAGGTATAGAGTGGTTTATAGCAATACAGTATGTAATTTAATGTTGGGTTTGCCTATGGCAGTATATAGTACGGTATAGACGCGTGTGATGTAAGAGAATAAAGTTTAGATGGAAGCATATTATATAATTTTTACAACGTAGAAATGTTTTATGTATTACTTACTGTTAGTAACTCAGCTTATTGTAGAGTATAGTAAGTATACTGATGATGCTATGTAGTTTATACTTTAGTTTGTTATGCAGTTTATACTTTAGTTTTTTACGTGGTTGTTTAGTAACTGCAGCTACATACTATTAACATTCCTTTCCTTTGTTAATGCTACCCCCTCCCCCCCCCCCTTTGATGCTGCTAATCCTGCATAATGCACGGGCATAGTATTGATTTGGAACCCCCCCCCCGCCCACCTCCTACGCATTTTCCATATGCTGAATTCCTCTTGATATGCAAATTATTTTGTTTAGGCGCTCTTCTTCCCACCTCCCCCCTCTCTAACCCAGCTTAAATATACGCTCCAAGCTTGGTGGTGTTTCATTCTTCGCCTGAGGACGGCTGCTTGTGTTGTGGCCGAAACGTCGTGAGAATTGTTTTATTATGTTTTATTTTTATTATTTTATTACTTCCCTTCTACGTGACTTTACCGAAAGAATCAAGAAGATGAATCCCTGCAGTCACGAAAGCTTTAAATCGAAAGTCTGCAGCATCTTGCGACCTCTGGGTGAAACGCACTTTATAAGCGTCAATTATTATTGTGATTTAAACGTTATTATACCGCAGTTGTGTGACAGAATTAAGGTAAATACTACAATTAAATATTAATTCAAAAGTGTTTTTTTTTTCATAATAAAGGGGTTTTCTTATTCTCCTCGGGTCGATCGCGTTCATTATAAATGAGTCTGGAATCCACCACAACGCGACACAGCCAATTAGTAATGTTGTGTCACGTAAACAGAACGTGAGCTTTGAAAATATAAAAATTAAAACGCTCATTGTTGTAACAACACAATAACAACAGTGATCCGAATCCCACCTCTAGATTTTAAGCGAGTTCTACCCTGCACTTGTGGTTCATACATTGCCACTATCAGAGGGCCGTAGCAGTGACGACGATATTGACAATAATTGCTATTTATTTACCCAGAAAAGTCCCGAAGACTGTTTTCTGCAGAGTCCTGCTACACATTGGGATGCTTGGCCGACACAAATCACATCCACCGCACGTTTTATTTTATTTTTAGCTTTTCGGAGGAAACCGGAGAACCGTAAAAAAGAGCTTCATAGCTCATCGGATTTTTCCCGGATTTAAAAAAACAACAACGATTCTGACTCTGAACCCGGAAGAAATCCACACGGTGGAGGGAGTGCGAGACAGAGAGAGAGAGAACACACAAACGGCACGGAGAAAGGCGACCCGAATCAGGAATCGAACCGAGGTCCACTTCGTGCTGTGAGTCACGAGCGCGTCACAGCTGCTGCCCGCGTCGAGGGTGATGTCGTCGGGAGGAGGATGCCGCGTTGGAGGAGGTGGGTGGGGGAGTGTTGGTGCCGTCCCCATCACATCCTGCGGATCGTGCTGATGCGCGCCTTGCAGCTGGGACAGTGATGGTGGATGTCGTGGCAGGGGGTGAGGCACAGGGGGATTAAACAGCACAGCCAAAGCCTGCACAGACACGCACAGACAACAAAGACACCCCCCCACCCCCCGGCCCCCCCGTAATATGAAAAATAAGAAGAGGTTTTACCCTTTCTGCCAATGAAACAGGAGTTGTGTGAAGATGTTCAAACATCAAATGGATGATACCTTTGGCAAGAAATCAAGTACTGCATTAACCACACATCGTACTTGTGGTGAACACACAAACAAACCTGCTCTGATAATAAGTAAGATTAAAAAAAAACTTTTTTTTTAAACACGCTTTAATGAAATGTACTCGGAATGGAAGAACTCAACGACTCCAGGAAGTCGCCCTGAAGTTTTCCATAACGTAAGGGACAGTGGCCGATTACAGCCTACGTTAGTTGAGCGTGGACAATTAGACCCAAGCCGAAACATAACGTATAAAAAATAATGTTTAAAAAATATATATTTTTATGATATTGGCATCAGTATGACATAAGTATACCAAGTTTGCAGTCGATACCACATTGGGAAGTGGGTTAAAATAGAGTTACAAGATTTGAGGATACAACGACTACAACGACTACGACGACAACAACAACAGACAGTGCGTTAAATGAAAGCGTGTAATAAAGACTGCCAGATATTATCAGAGCATGTTTGCATGTTCGCCACAAGTCACGTGTGTGATTAATGCGGGACTTGATTCCTTGCCAAAGGTGTCATCTATGTGGTGTTCAAACATCTTAACACGACTCTCGTTTTATTGCCATGAAAGGGGTAAACACCGACCGCTATTCTTATTTTTCACACTTTTCTACCGGCGGCAAATATCATCCCAAGAAGCCCTGTGATGGCCTTCACAGGCTGCTGGGGGCTAGAGCTGGTGGCGAGTAGCACCCATGCACAAGGCCGGCACAGCGCATGAGGTGGTGGTGTGGACAGGACCGCGTCCCGACCGTCTTTGTCTCCCCAGTGGTGATGTTTAGACACAGCTCCTTTAAGGACGGAGTCGACCGAAGGGGAGTCCTAAGACTGCTTCAGGTAGTCATACAACTGCAATTGGCTGTGAGCGGAAAATGGAACATGGGTCGCCTCGTAAGTGGCGCAATTCGCCAACCACTGCGCCACCGCTCCGCGTACGAAAGACAAATGCTCCCCGTATATGCCTTCAGACTGTTGGGGCAAGTGCTGCGCACACGCAGCATAAACCGATCCTGGTTTTGGCATTGCCTCTACGTAAAGCGCAAAGACATGCAGAGCCACGGAGAAACGCAACCGATCTCGTTGGGGCACGGAGGTGGTTTCCTGGACGAGTGGACGCCAATCGAGATCTGAAATATTCGTGACTGCCGGGATCCATACTCTTTGGTTCTGTCGGTAAAGTCATGTAGGTTTAAAATAAAATACATTTATTTTAAAATAAAATAAATTTATTTTAAAATGAAATCAATTTATTTTAAAATGAAATAAATGTATTTTAAAATAAAATAAATGTATTTTAAAATAAAATAAATTTCTTTTATAAAAAAAATACATTTATTATATACCTACGTGACTTTACCGAAAGAACCAAAGAGAGTGGACAAAAACCATGCACGCGCGCCAGGTCGCGATCGGCAGAGGGCGGAGCAGCGATGATCCATCGTTGGACTGCAATTCAATGCTCCCACGTGGCTGCGTGATCCGTCACGGACCCGCGCACACCGGCGCTGTGGCCGTGGCTCGGCCATCGAACAGAGACGGTGGCCACCGGCATCGCGCGCTTTCGGATGCGCTTCTGCGGCCGTCTGGAACGGTCTTCCTTGCGATCGTAGGAAGCCGCTGGGAGCTGTGCCCTTTTAAAAATTTAGATTGAAAATGCACTTCTTTCAAATAGCTCTTTTGTGTTTTAGTTTGTTGTCATTCCACCGTACCTCTGATTAGTGCGGTTGGCTATGTAGGGTGCGAAATATAAGTTCAACGTCCATACACACATTAATCTATGTGTGTGTGCCTGGTAGATACCTGTGCCCCCATACTGTGCCAACTTTGCTGCGTTTTATCCGCCCGGGCGGGCGACCGCCTTTCAACTTGCCCAGTAAGCAGCAAACGTCCTTCACGAGCCTACTCCTCCACCCCACCCACCCCACCCACTCACCCCAGCAGAAACATGATGCCCACCAAGATCCAGGCCAGGAGTCCCGGGCTGCTGACGGTCTCGGTGACCACCTCGTGCTGGCAGGAGGGGCACGTGGTGGACACGGGTCCCGCGACGGAGGGGCGCTCCGGCTGCTCCTCCTCCACGGGCACCACGTGAACGTACGCGTGCGGTTGGCCCGAGGGATACGAGGCCGGACCGCCACCTGCAGAACGCGAGTCGCGTGATGTTAGAGCGGTGGTTGGGGCGTTGGGGGAGGCCCTTTCGCCGATAACACTGGTCAACACACTTTTTCTGGCATAAGGTATTCCAACGGTTTTAAGGTAATTTTGGGGTGCTGATTCCAAATCTGGCATCAGTTGTTTTTGTCTATCACATCAGGTTTTTGAGATATCAAATATTTCATTTTCAATGAAAACTGCAGAAGAAAAATATTACATAAATGTGGATATCTACATAAAATGATATTATAAACACACTATCCTAAAAATACAGCACCCTATTTAACACTAAAGCAGTCACTGACTCGCAACAACTTGCAATCATAAGTGACAGAGTTAATTTCGGGTAAAATCAATGAAAATGGGGTATGCCGATAGCATAAAAATGAGATGTGATAGGGCAAATCTGAGATCAGATTTGGAATCAGCACCCTGAAATTAGTCTAAAACAGCTGCAAAAGTCCAGGCAGAGGAGCCTCAATTGGGGCGAGGCCAGCGTCGTGCGTATGCGCAACCAACAGGGCACGCGTCATCTCGGTCGGTGTCTTAACAGGCCCTGGAGTGGCGTCGTGGGTGGGCTGGGTGGGTACTCTCTTGTGTAGCTGCTGGGGTGAGTGAGTGCCTGTGAGTTGTTCGTCTGTGCGTGGACACCATCAGCTGTCACACACAGCACGAAACACCCGCTCGGGTATCGCCGACCCTGCGAGACGCGACGAGGGGAATCTCTGTGCTGATGAACCACAATGGGGGTGAAGCCATGTGTGTGTGTGTATGTATGTGTGTGTATGTGTGGGGAGCGGTGGTGTAGCGGTTAGCGCGCTGCGCTATGAACCTGGCGACCCAGGTTCGATTCCCGCTCACGGCTAACACCAGTGACGATTATCTGAACCGGTCCTGGGCCTCACCTAGGTCGACTCAGCCTTAAATGAGTACCTGGTGCGGTGTGTAAACATCGCCACTGGGGAGACAAAGGCGGTCGGGCGTGGTGCTGGCCACCCACCCCCTCGTGTACCGTTCCGGCCTTCATAGGTGCTCGCTAACAGCACTTGCCCCTACAGTCTGTTTAGGCTATACGGGGGATCTTTGTCTTGTATGTGTGGGGAGCGGTAGTGTAGCGGTTAGCGCGCTGCGCTATGAACCTGGCGACCCGGGTTCGATTCCCGCTCACGGCTAACACCAGTGACGATTATCTGAACCGGTCCTGGGCCTCCCCTAGGTCGACTCAGCCTTAAATGAGTACCTGGTGCGGTGTGTAAACATCGCCACTAGGGAGACAAAGGCGGTCGGGCGTGGTGCTGGCCACCCACCCCCTCGTGTACCGTTCCGGCCTTCATAGGTGCTCGCTAACAGCACTTGCCCCTACAGTCTGTTCAGGCTATACGGGGGATCTTTGTATGTGTGTGCATGTGTGCACGCACTGTGGGGAGCGGTAGTGTAGTGGTTAGCGCGCTGCGCTATGAACCCGCGACCCGGGTTCGATTCCCGCTAACGGCCAACACAGGTGATGATTATCTGAACCGGTCATGGGCCTCCCCTAGGTCGACTCAGCCTAAAATGAGTACCTGGTGCGGTGTGTGAACATCGCCACTGGGGAGACAGAGGCGGTCGGGCGTGGTGCTGGCCACCCACCTACCCACTTGTGTACCGTTCCAGCCTTCACAGGTGCTCGCTAACAGCACTTGCCCCTACAGTCTGTTAAGGCTATATTATCATCATCATCGTGCTGCTATAAAACCCCAACAATGGTTTCAAATGGTGTGGGGCGGCCCTACTCACACTGATGGACGGATACCGATCAACGATGTCCATACGTGTTAAGGTGAGAATGACGTTTCCAGCACTTGCATTTTATACCGAATGTAGCAAAGCGCGAGAAGACGGTGTGAGCCAAGAAAGGTGGAAACTTTGCCATATGATCCTCATGGCAGTACCCCGGGGTACCAAATAATACTAAACGGCCTAGGCAATTAAATATTTTATTTCTGGGACACTATTTTTTCCAGGGGCGTACTTAACTCCGCGAATGGGGTACCAATCAATCCAAAATCAGTGCAACTCCGCGATGTCGAAACGCAGCGAAGACGATTATTGCGCTGAAACCCTGAACGCTCGCGGTACGCACCGTGGTGGTGCATCGTGAGTACAGCTCGTCGAGATGAGTCGATTGCCGCATCGCCGACCATCAACAGACTAACAGTGACTGCATCACGGACATTATGTGAGAGCCGGGGTACTATGGTACCCTGGGGCACCGCCATAAGGTTCAAATGCTGCATGATAATATTATTGAGCGTCACCCTCATTTACAGAACACATGGAGCTCGAGGCACCGTAGTGGGGAAACGTTTCTCGTTAGTAAATAAATTAATGAAATCTCCGTTTCCAACAGCATACCCTCGTCAGAATCAGAAATCAGAAACGGTTTTAATCGCCATGTAAGTTTGCACAGACAAGGAATTCACTATGGCTGGACGGTGCATACATTTAACAAGTAGGAATCTTAAAAACCTATATAAAAGGTATACACTCTAACTATACTAACGTCACAAAGTTTAAGTAATACTAAAGGGCTAAAATCTATAAAATTATGAATAAGTAGACCTTATAAAATGCGAAATGTAAAATGTTAATTAGCCGTATTAAACAATCTTAAAATACAAAAATACAAATAAGATTACACGTTGTAAGTATGGAAAGGTGTAATTAGGTAGATAAAATGTTATAGTAAGTGTAACAGTCATTTTAAGTGTAACAGTCATTTTAAGCCCTTGGCCTTGTTGAGGAGGCCAACAGCAGATGGGAAAAAACTATTTTTATGACGTGAAGTTTTGGTCCTGATGGACAGTAGCCTTCTGCCGGAGGGGAGTAGCTGGAACAGAGAGTATCCAGGGTGCGAGGAATCGTCCGCAATCTTCCTCGCTCGCCTCAGGGTCCTCAAAGTGTGCAGGTCCTCAAGGGTTGGTAGATTACAACAAATCACCTTCTCAGCAGTGCGGATGATACGCTGCAGTCTGCTTTTGTCCTTGGCAGTGGCAGCAGCGTACCAGACGGTGATGGAGGAGGTGAGGATGGACTCAATGATGGCTGTATAGAAGCACACCATCATTGTCTTTGGCAGATTACATTTCTTCAGCTGCCGTAGGAAGTACATCCTCTGTTGAGCTCTCTTGATAAGGTAGCTGATGTTCAGTTCCCACTTGAGGTCCTGGGAAAGAATAGTGCCCAGGAAGCGGCAGGACTCAACATTGGTGACTGGGGTGTCGCACAGGGTGATGGGGGTGAGTGGGGCTGTATTCTTCCTGAAGTCCACAACCATCTCCACGGTCTTAAGAGCATTAAGCTCCAGGTTGTTCTGGCTACACCAGGTCACCAGGTTGTCAGCTTCCCTCCTATAGTCAGACTCATCCCCATTAAGATTAGCCCAATTAGGGTGGTGTCGTCCGCAAACTTCAAGAGTTTGACGGACTGGTGACTGGAGGTGCAGCTGTTGGTGTACAGGGTGAAGAGCAGAGGGGAAAGGACGCAGCCCTGAGGAGATCCGGTGCTGATTGACCTGGAGGCAGAAACTTGTGATCCCAGCTTGACGCACTGCTTCCTGTCAGACCGGAAGTCTGTGATCCATCTGCAGGTGGAGTCTGGCACGTTCAGCAGGGAGAACTTGTCCTGAAGCAGGCTAGGAATGATGGTGTTAAAAGCCGAGCTAAAGTCCACAAACAGGATCCTGGCGTAGGATGCTGTGGAGTCCAGATGCTGTAGGGTGAAGTGGAGGGCCATGTTGACTGCGTCATCCACAGACCTGTTGGCTCTGTAGGCAAACTGAAGGGGGTCCAGTAGAGGGTCTGTGATGGCTTTGAAGCGTGCCAGGACCAGGCGCTCAAAAGACTTCATTACCACGGAGGTAAGGGCGATGGGTCTGTAATCATTTAATCCTGTTGGCCTTGGCTTTTTGGGCACTGGAATGATGATGGAGGACTTGAGACAGGCTGGTACATGGCATGTCTCCATGGAGGTGTTAAAGATGTCCGTTTACCATCGGACTAGGTGAAATGTGCCCAACTGTCTGTGGTCATATAAATAAGCAACGTTTCTTGAGCCCCCCCCGCCCCCCATTGTGTGCGTGTGGTGGCGATTGAAGTCACCCGCCCACGTGTGTGGTAGCCACGTGAGTGGCTCCTGGCAGAAGTGATGATGTCCAATTTAGTATTCGGGTGGTCCAGACGTCTCGTCACCCCCAATTAATGTACCCCCTCACGTTTTTTTCATTTGCACATTAATTTCTGTTTTAAATAAACCTTACTTTAAAAAATGTAGGTTACGAGAGATTTAAATGGATGTCCCAAGACATCTGGACCACCCTGAAGATTGATGAACCATTAACGTGACCATCTGTCACGGTTACACCGTCGATGCGTCATCGCCGGTGGACTTGAGGGCCTTGGCCCGTGTTTAGGGTGGTGCATGGGCGCCACGAGGGTGGTGCTGTGTGGCCGTTCAGTTTCGTGTCTTTGCCATCCGAGTGCTGTCCTCCCACGTACGGCCTCCTGTAATGTGATGACCTCAATCCTAACCCTCCTCCCCCCCTCGTCATGCCTTCTATCTGGCTGGGAAGCCAAATCATTGGCGTCTTGAGTTCACTCGAATACCTCGTTTGAGCGATTCGTGGCCCCTTAGCAGGGGTTCTATTTTTATTTCGGCTTTTAGCACTCTACTGGGGTCATATCTGGATTCAAATTAATGATGTCCATTTCACGCCGATGATGGTATTGCGTTTCACGTAACACAAGACCCTGTGACAGGACACAAAGCAGCCACCACCACCACAATGCAGGTCACAAACAAGGCCTCTCTTCTGGTTCTCTCGCACTGCTCCACCCTGGAATTCCCGCTTATCGTCTGTGTCGGTTCAAGCAAACGAGTTCACCCTTAAGGCAGTGCTGTCTGATGCTGGCCACTTGGCGTTTTGGGCCTGTGCTTGGCATCCGTGATATAAACGCTCTACTGTACAAATCACACGTGAATTTGACTATACAAATGCCAACCTCCCAAATGCCCAACCCCAAACGCCTCACGACTCAAGTTGTCGGGCCAGTCCCTGGGTGTGGTAGCGTTGCCTTGCAATAACTTAGCTCAAGTTGACCGCCCACCCCACAAATGACTACGAATTGCCGCAATACAATCGAGCTTCTTACGTAATAAAGTGACGTACATGGCCCAGCGGCCCACGCGTGGACTCTGGGACTCTACTAAACAGCACGGCTGTGTGTGCTCAGATTTTTTATTATCTGCGCTGGCAGTGGTGCGCAAGCACAATGAGCCACAACTCAACGCGAATATAAAGTACATAATAGTCGACGTTTCGGGCAACATGCTCTTTTTCACCCATGTGCTATGAAGAAGGGCAATTTGCTGAAACGTCGCAGGCTGTTTGTTTGTTGTTGTTTGTGGGGAGCGGTGGTGCAGTGGTTAACACGCTGCGCTACGAACCCGGCTACCCGAGTTCGATTCCCGCTCACGGCGACCGATGCCAAGTGACGGATATCTGAACCGATCCTGGACCTCCTCTAGGTCGATTCCGTTTTCTAATGAGTACCTGGTCCGATGTGCAAACGTCGCCAGTAAGGAGACAGGCGTGGTGCTGGCCACCCATCCCGGCTATCGTAGGTGGCTCCCTAACAGCACTTGCCCCAGCAGTCTTGTCAAGGCTCGATGGGGGGTGGATCTTTGTCTTTGTCTATATGCAACATCACTTAAAGTTGGCGGGCCCGTACTGCGTCACCTTGTTCCACATGCGGACAGCTGCCAGGAGGGGTGCCCCCCTCCCTGCTAGGCTCCAAACGGCGGCTGGGCATTGGAAGTGGTTTGAGATGAAATGTCCGGCGCTAAGAGTCAGCCGAGGCAAGGACGTGCTCCCTGGACGTTAGGTGGTACTATACCAGGGGTCGGCAACCTACGGCTCCGGAGCCGCATGCGGCTCTTTACGGGCTGCTTCTTGACGATGAGTACGTATGTACTCAGATGCATTGCGGCTCTTGAAATACTGAATTTTGTACCGAATTGGAAAGAAATGGCTCTTCTTGTTATTTTGGTTGCCGACCCCTGTACTATACAATACATATCTACGGCACCCTTTTTGTTGTTGTGGCAGTATCGAAAAATGATGATGATGATGATGAAACAAAACATCAGAATAGGCTTTAGCCCCAAGCCTGCCAATAACACAGGATGCGGTAAGATGTGCAAACACAAAATGATGTAGGTAATCTATCGCAAGGTATCAAGTCTGCATTAACCGCACTAACGTGTTGTAAAAGCATGGAAACAAACACGCCTTGATGTAACGCATTGACCTAGAAACGGATTGGCCAACACCAGCGCTACAGCCTCCTTTATGGCCGAGTCTTTATACCACCTGCGTTAGACCGGAGAACAACGCCAAAAGGCGAACAGTCCAATGCCAACGCAAGTATCAACGTGTCAATATTTTTACGATTTCACTATTTTTTGTAATTTACCAGGTTGAGGTCTACTGAGCTACTTAGCTCGTCTTCAGAGAGACCTAGCCACAAGCGATAGCTCAACGGAGTGGCTCATCATGTGGACATTTATAGCAACCGAATACGTTAAAAATGAGTGGTGTTGATTCTAAATGTGGACAGGAAAACCCCGGAGGACCCGGAGAAAACAATCCACGCGACCACGGGGAGAGGAAGACACACGCAAACTCCAAATATACAGCAGCAGGCGTCAGGGTCGGGACCGTACCCACGACCTCCTGTACACCAGGCGAGGTAGTTAACATCTCCTAGCCACCGTGATGTTGATGAGAGAGAGAGAGAACACGCAAACTCAAAATATACAGCAGGCGTCAGGGTCGGGATCGAACCCACAACTTCCTGTGTACCAGGCGATGTAGTTAACATCTCCTAGCCACCGTGATGTTGATGATGAGAGAGAGAGACACGCAAATTCAAAATATACAGCAGCAGGCGTCAGGGACGGGACCGAACCCACGACCTCCTGTATACCAGGCGAGGTAATTAACATCTCCAAGCCACCGTGATGTTGATGATGAGAGAGAGAAACACGCAAACTCAAAATATACAGTAGGCGTCAGGGTCGGGACCGAACCCACGACCTCCTGTATACCAGGCGAGGTAATTAACATCTCCAAGCCACCGTGATGTTGATGATGAGAGAGAGAAACACGCAAACTCAAAATATACAGTAGGCGTCAGGGTCGGGACCGAACCCACGACCTCCTGTATACCAGGCGAGGTAATTAACATCTCCTAGCCACCGTGATGTTGATGATGAGAGAGAGAAACACGCAAATTCAAAATATACAGCAGCAGGCGTCAGGGTCGGGACCGAACCCACGACCTCCTGTATACCAGGCGAGGTAATTAACATCTCCTAGCCACCGTGATGTTGATGATGAGAGAGAGAGACACGCAAACTCAAAATATACAGTAGGCGTCAGGGTCGGGATCGAACCCACAACTTCCTGTGTACCAGGCGAGGTAGTTAACATCTCCTAGCCACCAACAGGGCTGGGTTGGTCACGTCATTCTGAAAAGTGCGGTTTGTATGCAGCCCAGCGCCAGTGTCGCGGATTAACCGAGTCCCCTGCGTGGGCTGCGATGATCGTCCGTTCGCGGTAGCAGAGACGAACGAGGTCGGCATGGGGGGGGGCATCGTTGCTCGTGTTTGATGTGGCGTGTTTCTCTCGTTGTTGTTAATCAACGCTCGTGGAGACGATGAGTTGCACCGCGAGCGCGTGAAAGACGAGGATGGATTTACTGGTAGGAACCTCCTGGTTACACCAGCCCACAGGGGATTATTGTGTCCGTCCGTCCGTCGTGCATACAAAAATGGGAGGGGTGGGGCTGGGTGGAGAGGGGAGGGTGGGGAAGGGAGGGTGGGGAGGGGCTGGGTGGAGAGGGTGGGGCTGGGTGGGGGGTGGGAGGGGTGGGGCTGGGTGGGGAGGAGCTAGTCACCCCGTGGTGCCCTTATAAAATCAACGTTTAACCTACTCACGCCGGCTTGTGCCCACCCTCACAGTCGGGCATATTTGCGGAATACACCACGCCGCCGTTGACCGTGGCCATTGACCGAGCAACCCAACGTTCCTACCAGCTCCCTCCGCAGGAGGAATGTGTTCTCGTGCTTTTCACGCCTATTGCGTTTTCGTGTTGTTTGCTTTCATTTGTGACGACCATTAAGAAAAAAATAAAAACTTTTGCTTTTCACAACGCCGTACGAAAGAAGAAGAATTGTTTGTTATAACGTCCTAACCCGCCCCCGACTGGACAGCTGTCAATTAAAAATAGCTCCTTTAGCTCCATCGGATTCCTCCAGAATTAAGTAAATATTCTGATTCTGGCTATGGGAGGCCTTCACCCAGCAGTACATAAATCATGGATGGTGATGATGACGATGATTATTTGAAATCCGTATGGGCGCGAGGTGGTTCAGGGGGTGGAGGAGAAGTTGTAGAAGTTGTAGGAGGACGAGAGGGATTCGGAGCTGTCCTCACCTCGGTTGTGATCCGGAACGAGACCAAACTGCATCGACTGAGGTCGGTTCTCGAACATTGCACTCGTCCCCGTCGTGTGAGCTCGCAGTGCTCTAACATCCAAGCGACACAATGACAACAATCGTAGAGTGACAGCAACATCCAAGCGACACGATGACAACAATCGTAGAATGATAGCAACATCCAAGCGACACAATGACAACAATCGTAGAGTGACAGCAACATCCAAGTGACACAATGACAACAATCGTAGAGTGACAGCAACATCCAAGCAACACAATGACAACAATCGTAGAGTGACAGCAACATCCAAGCGACACAATGACAACAATCGTAGTGTGACAGCAACATCCAATCGACACAATGACAACAATCGTAGAGTGACAGCAACATCCAAGCGACACAATGACAACAATCGTAGAGTGACAGCAACATCCAAGCGACACAATAACAACAATCGTAGAGTGACAGCAACATCCAAGCGACACGATGACAACAATCGTAGAATGATAGCAACATCCAAGCGACACAATGACAACAATCGTAGAGTGACAGCAACATCCAAGTGACACAATGACAACAATCGTAGTGTGACAGCAACATCCAAGCAACACAATGACAACAATCGTAGAGTGACAGCAACATCCAAGCGACACAATGACAACAATCGTAGTGTGACAGCAACATCCAATCGACACAATGACAACAATCGTAGAGTGACAGCAACATCCAAACGACACGATGACAACAATCGTAGTGTGACAGCAACATCCAAGCAACACAATGACAACAATTGTAGAGTGACAGCAACATCCAAGCGACACAATGACAACAACCGTAGAGTGACAGCAACATCCAATCAACACAATGACAACAATTGTAGAGTTACAGCAACATCCAAGCGACACAATGACAACAATTGTAGTGTGACAGCAACATCCAAGCAACACAATGACAACAATTGTAGTGTGACAGCAACATCCAAGCGACACAATGACAACAATCGTAGTGTGACAGCAACATCCAAGCAACACAATGACAACAATCGTAGAGTGACAGCAACATCCAAGCGACACGATGACAACAATCGTAGTGTGACAGCAACATCCAAGCGACACAATGACAACAACCGTAGAGTGACAGCAACATCCAAGCGACACAATGACAACAACCGTAGAGTGACAGCAACATCCAAGCGACACAATGACAACAACCGTAGTGTGACAGCAACATCCAATCGACACAATGACAACAATCGTAGAGTGACAGCAACATCCAAGCAACACAATGACAACAATTGTAGAGTGATAGAAACATCCAAGCAACACGATGACAATAATCGTAGAGTGACAGCAACATCCAAGCGACACAATGACAACAATCGTAGAGTGACAGCAACATCCAAGCGACACGATGACAACAATCGTAGAGTGACAGCAAGATCCAATCGACACAATGACAACAACCGTAGAGTGACAGCAACATCCAAGCGACACGATGACAACAATCGTAGTGTGACAGCAACATCCAATCGACACAATGACAACAATCGTAGAGTGACAGCAACATCCAAGCGACACAATGACAACAATCGTAGAGTGACAGCAACATCCAATCGACACAATGACAACAATCGTAGAGTGACAGCAACATCCAAGTAATACAATGACAACAATTGTAGAGTGATAGAAACATCCAAGCAACACAATGACAATAATCGTAGAGTGACAGCAACATCCAAGCGACACAATGACAACAATCGTAGAGTGACAGCAACATCCAAGTGACACAATGACAACAATCGTAGAGTGACAGCAACATCCAAGCAACACAATGACAACAATCGTAGAGTGACAGTAACATCCAAGCGACACAATGACAATAATCGTAGAGTGACAGTAACATCCAAGCGACACGATGACCACAATCGTAGAGTGACAGTAACATCCAAGCGACACAATGACAACAATCGTAGAGTGACAGCAACATCCAAGCGACACAATGACAACAATCGTAGAGTGACAGCAACATCCAAGCGACACAATGCTGAGCCCGTCACATTATGTAGCTACTTTTGCTACTCGGATAATCCGGCACTGCCCTGTGCGGGCAGCCGTTTTTTTTTGTGCTAAACTTAAATCTGAAACGTAATTTAACGTAAAGATATAATTGGTTTAAATAAGGCAGGAAATGGGTCCCAATGCAATGTCTTGGTGACAACACCATGTACAGCAGTCGAACTGTATCGTTAAAGAATAACGAAGGGGGGGGGGGGGGCTTAATAGACGCGGTTTACTCCACCACCAAATTTGTGTGATTTAAGTCAGAACGTGGTTGTCACCTTGCCGTACACCCGCGGTGTCTGCGACTGTGTACAAGTAGCCCTGCGCGCGTGTGATGCAGCTCTCGAACTATTTTGGTCAAAGACATTGAAAGGTTTCCCGATCCCCCCCTGTGCTCGACCCTCAACTCCATGGTGGCAGCGCAACAGGACGTCTCGTGCCGCGTCCGACCCGCGGTGTCGTAGATTCCACAGCACTGCCCCGAGCTTGCCGCGGTCGATAAAACGAGTACCGCTTTGTGTGCGTGTCGAACTTCTTTCGCGCCGCACGTCACCGACCGTGCTAATCGGAGGACGACAAACTTCGAAGGAAGAGCAAACACCGAACTGTCCCCGTCGTCGGAACGTGGAATTTCCACCACTAACTCAAACAACTCGCCATTCATTTGGGACGCTCTAAGCAACAGCTGACATGTCTTGAGCCGGCTTCTCGTTGTCGAGTTGACGGCTGTCACCTGACCATCTTGGACCGTGTAGGTTTCGGTTCAAGCGGTGCAGGATGAGCTTACCTTGGGAGCGGTGTCCAACGCTGCTCCACAGCGAGGGTACAGAGCCTCGGCAGCGGTGGAGGTGGCGAGATGGTTTTGGTGGTAACGGTAGTTGGTGGTTGTGGTGGTATGGGCAGGTATTGATGGTGGTGGAGGTTTAGGTGGCGGTGATGATGGAGTTTATGGTGGTGGTATTAGTGGAGCTGGTTCGTGATAGCGGAATGTGTGGCGGTAGTTTTGGTGAAATCGGTGTGGGCTTTGAGGCTGTGCGTGGCTGGTGGTGGTCGTTGTGGCAGGTACAGGTGCGGGTGGAGGTCTGTAGTTGTGTTGGTGGCGGTGGTGTTGGTAAATAAATGGGTGGTGGTTTTGGTTAAGTGATAGATCTGTGGTAGTGGCAATGGTAGTGTTGGCGGTATGTTTATGTGGTCTTAGTGGTGGCTGTAGGGATGAGTGGTGGTGGCAGTGCAAGAACTATTGGGGCTGTCAGTGGAAGAGTTAAGAGTGGTGTGGTGGTGGTGTGTGGGTGGAGCTGGTAATGACCGTTGGTTTAACGATATTTGAGTGGCCGTAACTTTTTTTCAAATTGCACCCAAACTGTTTAAAACTGCACCTCCCGGTTAGTACGGTTGGCTACGTACGGTAAGAAATACGTTCAACATACAAGGCGGACAGCAGAAAGTGGCCAAACCCCTACCAAGGGAAGTCTCACCAAGACGCTTCATTTCTGGATTGGGATGTTTGGCCAATTAGTTTGTATGCAAAGTACTGTATTTTATTTGCAGGTCTTCATGATTTCAGGGTCGCTGGTAGATTGTGGAACAGGCACGTGACTTGGAAACGCAGCAGCAGCACCAAATTAATTATATAAATTATTGTACACCACACACGATCGATAAACATAGATTATAAGATGGCTTTTTTGTCTGTACTGTATCGTGTATCAAAAGGTATTGGTTTTCCCAAGTGTGATCCAGCTGGCCAGGAATGGGCAAAACTAACATTACAACTAACATGAACACATTTAAGAATTACAGTTAAGAGACACACAATATCCAGTACATACTATTTAAAAAGGAGGAATAAAAATGCTGTCAAAAATGTAACTTAAAATTTACTTGGGTACACTTTGGAAAATGCGCACGTGGGCGGGGCTTACCCGTGATTTTGGGGTACCCTTTGCAAGAGGCTGGGTTTACGAGAGGCTGAACATGTGATGTTTAATCTTGACTTAAATTCACAATCCCACCTTTTTGCAGCTTGTAACTTATATTATTTAATATAGACTTTGCCCAACCGTTTATTTAAAAAAACACACACTTTAGAAGAGAGTAGCTTGTGTACACCCTGGAGAAATACAGGCGTGCGTCATTGACCCGGTCCTGAGCCGAGTGGTCAACACGCGCTCGCACACATGAGGCTCTCTTGTGTGTGTGTGTATCAACCAAAAAATAAAAATTCTTTACTCAATTACCACGGGACTCGGGAGGCCGGCTAATTCACTAATTTTAGTGAAGGCGGTCGCTGATGAATTAATTGCTCGGCGCGGGTTGGAAATGTGAGCTTTTTGGCGGCCCTCTTTTTGGATGAATGTTTGATTATTATTTTTGCCACGTTTTGGCTCCACCTAATCATTAGCGTGGTCGTGTGGAGAATTATAAATAACGCGGACGATACTTCCTCTCCCTTGATATCGTCTCACAATCAAAGAAAAAAAAACCCAAAATATTACAACAAGCCAATCGCGCTGCGTTACTCTGTGGGTGCAGAATTCCGGCGGTAGTTGTCTCAAAACGAGCAAAAAGTCTGGACCGGTTTCGGAATTCGGTGTCTCATCAAGTGCAATCCAGGTGAGCAAGGTGAGTGTGGCGCTGGGAAGGGAGATCGAGGGACACTAAATGGTCTTTTTATCAGAGATCTGTCCGACTAATAAGGTGAGAGGGAGCTGGGTTTAAATGCTTAGAGCAATGCAGCTTCAACTTGCGCAGACAAGCAAAAGACTGGCAGAGAAACGCTTAGACTGGCATATACAACACTGACATAGAGAGAGACTTTTAGTGATTTACAAGAAAGGCATTAATAAAAAAAAAGGCAAATGTTGTATGTGACACCTTCAATCGCATGCCGTGTGTTGCTGTCCGCTTGTCGTTTGGGCTTTTGCCGCTACCGTCTTCAGTAACCGTGATTTTAAAGCAAATCATCAAAATGAGACAGAAATCGAGACCAAAAAGAATCACACGGGGACTCATAGGCTTACCATGAGACTCGTAGACGCACTTTAGTGCAAACAGTCTCCAGTACAGTATACAGTAGAACCTCGGAGATCGAACGCACCAGAACTCGAACAAATCGGTGTTCGAACAATATTTCCGAACATTTTTTGCCCCGGAAACCAAACGAAATTCGGAGGTCAAACGGGAAATCGCGACTTGACAGAACCTGTACGGCTGAGACGCGTATAGCCCAGCGTGCATGATGCTTGCCCAGACAAAGGGTTTATCGTATGAGAGGCTCACTTAACGCGTAGTTCTCACCCAGTGCAGACCCACAAAACATCGTTCCTTAACTTTTTCAGTAATCTCCTTTATTTGAGTGTTTTTTGGTGTTTATCCATACACAAGCTTCTTGTTTTTTGCATGATTTTATGCATGTAATTACTGTAAATTTCGTGTAAAATGCTTTATAATGAGAGATTTCTTGTGTCTGAAACCAATTAATGTCATTTACATTAATTCTTACAGCGAAAATTAATTCGGTGTTCGAACAAATCGGTGTTCAAATGGCCTTCTGGGACGAATTAAGTTCGATCTCCGGGGTAGCACTGTATATAACTTATTGAACTTGTCACCGTGCGTCAGTTTAACACGTTGGCTTTCGTGACCAATATCAGGTTGTTTTGGGTTAGATCTCGTAAATATAAATGTGTCGTTGAATGTGTCACCGTGCGTGTGTAGAGGTGGTACGTACCGGGGTGTAGCGAGCCATCGCGTAGTCGGTGTCTACATCACGGTCCGCACATGGGTGGCTACACCGACGTCCGCATTAGCCCCGCCCCTCGGGGGGCAGAGGGCTATATAGGGTGGTGCGCGTGAGCGCTCGGGGAGTCGTTGGAGCCAGTGAAGAATGAAGACGAAGCAAGCTCGATAGGACCCTGGGACCCCTAGCCCCGCTGCCCTTATCAGGGCCGGGACTCTGTGTGGCTCAGTGGTGAGACCCTGGGTACCCGCGGCCCAACGTCCTTGTCAGGGCCGGGTTGATGGGTCAGTGGTTGAGACCAGTACCCTGGCTAGGTCGGGTCAGATAGTCTCCTCTAGGAAGTACATAGCCGGAGGACCTGAGAGCGTAGCCGGTGTCAGGCACGCATAGCTGTAGGCTGTGTTCCTAGGCTGTATAGCTGACTGTTTCTGTAGGGTGTTATAATAAATACGTGCTGCCTCCCTCAACTCGTCTCCTGCAGTATTTACACCATTACAACTGGTGTCAGAAGTGAAACTGTCTTCACGTAATGGATACCAGGAAGACTATTCGTACTCACGAGCATGGCCAGGATGACGACCAGGAGGGGACGAGTCAGCAGGCTTCGGACGGGGAATCAGAGGTGGTGCCGACGCTGCAGCACCCGTCGCGGACGCCTGACACACCGCTGCGGCTGGGGGATGGGCTCCAGGATGCTCACTCCCGCCTGGCTGAGTTTCTGCTCGCCGCTGCCTCCATATTGGCGGAGATTACGGCATCTGGAGGAGGGAGGGCTGGTGCCCGTGAATAAAATTGGCGCCAAATGCCGGCTCGCGTCAGCACCGCGCCGCAACGCAAGGATTGGCGCCAAAATCAGCCTCCCGCTACGGACACTGAAATTGGCGCCATTCTTCCGCCTAGTTCGTTGACTGGTGGAAACCGAGAGCACCACGTGAGGGAGGAGTTCCAGTCACCGCCTCCCACGTCATTGGTACGCGACAGATGTCGCCACGACCAACCCATGGAAGGGGCCGCCATTTCCCTGTGCGATGGCGCTGCGCGGGAACATCAGCCACCGGGAGAGGGGCAGGCGTTCCAACAGCGACTGCCTGCGTTGACGGCCTTTCAAGCTGAGGGAGGCGACTGGTGAGCCTTTCAACGAAGGTTCCTCGCTCACCAAGAGATGTCGGGGTGGACCGATACCGAGGCACTGCGCGCTACCAGCGACTCTGGATGATGATGCTCTGGCCACCTTCAGGTCGACTCCAAGGGCTGGCCGCTCCACACTCCATGCTGCGCTTCGCCTCATGGCCAGGGTCTATGGATGAATGTTAACAGTATTGGGTGTAACCTCCTTTCCTCTTCAGGTAATAAAAACAAACAATCGGGGTGTTGGTCCTCGGATGTTAAACAACGTGAAGACAGCAAGCAATATTTCAACTGGTTCAACAATGAGCGGAAACCATCGCACTGAAAGTTATTGTGGAATGTACAAACACACTTACATTTGAATATCTAAATACCTAAGTAGATTTTATCTATACACTCACAAACATATTGACCAATCATAAATGCACACTCACCATGCAAATGAATCCCCAAAGTAAACTTAACAGTGCCCGAGAGGCATATATAACATGATCGATGCACACGTGTTGACGATCATATATTTAATGTGATTACTTTTGTTTATCCAAGAAAGCCTCACAGAGTCGTAGTACCCTCTTTTAGGATGGTCCTACATCTGGATGTTTGGCCATCTTGAAGGAAACAGGAGTGCTCGGAGAAAACTCACGTATGCATGGGGAGCTACAATTCAAACGCTACAAATTGATTGAATGAACTTGGCGTATTGCCATCTCCCAGCCAATCCGCAGGCCAATGGGTTAGGGAGTTCCACTTACGTGTAAAATACATGGCCTGCTAAAATAAAGTAATGCATTCATGTATTTTTGGTCTTTAATATCATGGAAAACAATGTGAGGTTATATTAATACAAATCAATCACCCAGTAGTTTTATAGTCTCACCTGTGTAGTTTATTCCACCATTTGATATCTCACCGATATTATTTTTTACATAAAACCAATATCAAAATGAATCCCCGCCTGTGCACAAAGGTTTGATAGTTGTGGTGACCATTGCAGTTTATGTAGTAAATCCTGAATTCTCCTTCCTTTTGGGCCAATGAAATCTGAATTTCCACAGGTAATCACATAGCCATCATACACTTTGATTAGTCCTGCTTGATTCAAGTACACATTTAAGTAACGTCACAAATGGAGTGGGTTTCCCATGTCTGAAGCAGACTCTACATCTCTGTACAATCATAAACGATGCTTGTACCCTTCTTCAAGAGTAGCTGTTAGGAATTCCATGCAGGCATGGCAGGTCAGCTGTGTGAATTCTGACTTTAATTCATGAAGCAAGAACTACCCATGAAAGGACACTAGAAAACTCAATAAATCTCTCAACACACCAGCAAGCACTATAATGCTTCCTCAAGACCGTTTTGATTTGGAGATAGGAACTGATCATTTGAAAGGACAGTTACTTTTGCCGAAACATAATCTAACATGAATTGATAATTGACTCTTAAAACCTTCAACTAAAAATAAATGTTTTTTTTTAAAGAATCCAATTTAGCGGGAGTAAAACAAAACACCTCGTCCTTCGTATATAACCATTTTCTAAACAACTACGTTGTGAGAAGGTGACCTGACTGTATTTGTATTTGCAGCTGGTTGCACCAACAGAAGAAAATATTTCCTAGTTCCTTCTGAATATAGCTTGTGTTTATGTTGTTGTTGCTGTTATTTTTCTCCCCTTCAGTGCAGCCCCTTTTCTTATTTCCCAGGACTCATGACCTTTTTAAATATTGCAATAATCAGAAATGCTGTTGTGGGGAGAAGGCGGAGTGCAGTTGGGACGATCTTTACATTTCCCCAAGGCAGAATTGCCAAGGGCCACCCAACCTGAAGCTGTTCTCCACTGCACAGATCCCTCGTCTTTGTGTTGTTGGCCGTTTCTGATGTGTCGTGCTACAATAGGCAGTGCTAAAGGAAGATGTAATCCAAAAAAATCAAGCGGCTCTTATTTAACACCTACAGCTGTGTGCTTGGGGCAGTCTGAGGAGAATAATGAATAAATACAATTGTTTTAAGATTCCTGTATGAAATACGTACATCGTGTGAAGTGATGTCACCAACGTGCCAGGGTGGTGTGCCTGAACGTTATTTCACTTTTTTTTAGAATCATTCACTGAAGCTTCGAACTTGTTTTTTTCTGACAGATGGAAACACGTAGCCCATATGTTTATATCCCTACAAATTAAGAGCTGCTTGTTTCGTTTATCTTGCAATGAAAAATATTCCCTGGCTGGTTTCATCGAACTCACGCTTACAGTTTACGTTTCAAATACAGCAGTTGAGTTGTTTTTTTAGGGTGCACTGGTTTATGCGATAGAACTGTATACTTTTTAAAAAATTTATTCCCATACAACTCCATCAATTTAGGCACCATCAAATATTGAATTCATCAGAGGTGTCAAGGTTACTAATGTAGCAGGTCAGCTGTAAAAATAAATCATTTATGAATGCAGGGTTTTAAAAATGTAACAATTTCAGCTCACTTTCTGCCTTATTTGTTGGGTCCAGAGTGGTCAAAGTCCATTGCCATTCAAAAAATTAAGACAAAAATCAAGAATGTCCTTTGCAGTGTTTACTTTGAAGGTTTGGGATCACAAACTTTAAATCTGTATAGATATTAATCAAGTAGAACATTTAATCACGAAAACGATATTTATCCTTTTGATTAACTTGAACAGAATGTAATTATATAACTTATTATTGCCATTTGTTTTGCAACTTTTAGCTGTCTTATGTGCATTTATATCTGCTTCCTTATCCTTCACAAAGCCAACCATTGGTTGAACACGGAACGGTTCACTATGTCAAAGAATGTTTTATAATATTTTTAATTTCACATTTCACATCTCCAAAGGCACGTTAATTGCAAAGCCTGCTGCTTATAAATGTGTAATGGGTTCCGGAGACACTTGTAGAGGTAACTTCTTTATTACAATCCAACACTCCAACAGTCCTGATACTCTGTTACAGCCTAGGTACACAGCCTGGATACACTACTCTGGCTACGCTCTGGAACTCGCCCTCACAAGGACGTAGAGCCGGGAGTTCCAGAGTCCCACCACTGGCCCTCACATCGTCTCCGGGTCCTGAGATAGCTGGTCTTGGGTCTTGAGCTACAACTGGCCCTGATTGGCCAGGGAGCTGCCCTTTTATGCCTCGTCCCCAACGAGGGGTGGGGTTGTGTGCGCCCCCAGATATCCCACAGAGCACACACAGCCACCCCCCGTTGGTGGCGCCAAGGGTGTAGTGTGGAGTTTGTCTGGTGCCAGGATGTAGAACGGAGTTTGTCTGGTGCCAGGATGTTGAGTGGAGTTTGTCTGGTGCCAGGATGTAGAGTGGTGTTTGTCTGGTGCCAGGATGTAGAGTGGTGTTTGTCTGGTGCCAGGATGTAGAGTGGAGTTTGTCTGGTGCCAGGATGTAGAGTGGTGTTTGTCTGGGCTAGGATGTAGAGTGGTGTTTGTCTGGTGCCAGGATGTAGAGTGGAGTTTGTCTGGTGCCAGGATGTAGAGTGGAGTTTGTCTGGTGCCAGGATGTAGAGTGGAGGTTGTCTGGTGCCAGGATGTAGAGTGGTGTTTGTCTGGTGCCAGGATGTAGAGTGGAGTTTGTCTGGTGCCAGGATGTAGAGTGGAGTTTGTCTGGTGCCAGGATGTTGAGTGGAGTTTGTCTGGTGCCAGGATATTGAGTGGAGTTTGTCTGGTGCCAGGATGTAGAGTGGAGTTTGCCTGGTGCCAGGATGTAGAGTGGATTTTGTCTGGTGCCAGGATGTAGAGTGGAGTTTGTCTGGTGCCAGGATGTAGAGTGGAGTTTGTCTGGTGCCAGGATGTAGAGTGGAGTTTGTCTGGTGCCAGGATGTAGAGTGGAGTTTGTCTGGTGCCAGGATGTAGAGTGGAGTTTGTCTGGTGCCAGGATGTAGAGTGGAGTTTGTCTGGTGCCAGTATGTAGAGTGGAGTTTGTCTGGTGCCAGGATGTAGTGTGGAGTTTGTCTGGTGCCAGGATGTAGAGTGGAGTTTGTCTGGTGCCAGGATGTAGAGTGGAGTTTGTCTGGTGCCAGTATGTAGAGTGGAGTTTGTCTGGTGCCAGGATGTAGAGTGGAGTTTGTCTGGTGCCAGTATGTAGAGTGGAGTTTGTCTGGTGCCAGGATGTAGAGTGGAGTTTGTCTGGTGCCAGGATGTAGAGTGGAGTTTTTCTGGTGCCAGGATGTAGAGTGGAGTTTGTCTGGTGCCAGGATGTAGAGTGGAGTTTGTCTGGTGCAAGGATGTAGAGTGGAGTTTGTCTGGTGCCAGGATGTAGAGTGGTGTTTGTCTGGTGCCAGGATGTAGAGTGGAGTTTGTCTGGTGCCAGGATGTAGAGTGGAGTGGAGTTTGCCTGGTGCCAGGATGTAGAGTGGAGTGGAGTTTGCCTGGTGCCAGGATGTAGAGTGGAGTGGAGTTTGCCTGGTGCCAGAATGTAGAGTGGAGTGGAGTTTGCCTGGTGCCAGGATGTAGAGTGGAGTGGAGTTTGCCTTGTGCCAGGATGTAGAGTGGAGTAGAGTTTGCCTGGTGCCAGGATGTAGAGTGGAGTGGAGTTTGTCTGGTGCCAGGATGTAGAGTGGTGTTTGTCTGTTGCCAGGATGTAGAGTGGTGTTTGTCTGGTGCCAGGATGTAGAGTCGAGTTTGTCTGGTGCCAGGATGTAGAGTGGAGTTTGTCTGGTGCCTGGATGTAGAGTGGAGTTTGTCTGGTGCCAGGATGTAGAGTGGAGTTTGTCTGGTGCCAGAATGTTGAGTGGAGTTTGTTCAGTGCCAGGATTTTAATTTGTAGCTTTCGTGACTGCAGGAATTACTCTTTGGTTCTTTCGGTAAAGTCACGTATTAAGATAAAATAATAAATTAAATAATAGCATACGACGTTTCGATTGCAACACAAGCAATCATCATCAGGCATAAAAGAAATAGCAACAAAAATCTAACCAGAAAACTATAGACTGACATATAAGCAGACAGATATCACAAAGATACATAGAGAGTGAACACACATCGGCACACAGAGAAAGAACGTCTCTGTGCCAGGATGTAGAGTGGCTATGCGTTAATTGTGTGTTGACCGACTCTCTGTGTTGCATTACATTACATTTCGATATTTTGCTAAGTTTTTTAATTTAGTGTGTCTCTCTCCCGCTCTCCTAATTTTCAAGCTTGCGTACCTTGCCACCCGTCGTCCTACTCATTGACATGCTATTTTTTTCTCTAACCCCTCCCTCTCTCCGCCCCCACTCCCTCTCTCTATTTCTCTCTCTGTGTGCCGATGTGTGTTCTCTCTCTATGTATATTTGTGATATCTGTCTGCTTATACGTCTGTCTATAGTTTTCTGGTTAGATTTTGTTGCTATTTCTTTTATACCTGATGATGATTGCTTGTGTTGCAATCGAAACGTCGTATGCTATTATTTAACGCATTATTTTATCTTTAAACGTGACTTTACCGAAAGAACCAAAGAGTAATTCCTGCAGTCACGAAAGCTACAAATTAAGATTAATCCGGTCACTCTAGTTCGGCCCTTCTTCCGCCCCCTGTTGACCAGGAGCCGCTACTACAGGTCAAGAGTAGTGGTGATCGCGCATCGTGCCCAACAATGCCACTACACATGGATTGATTTTATCGTCACTCGTGTTGGCGGTGAGTGGGAATCTCCGGTCGCAGAGTTCGCAGCACAGTGCGCTAACAGCGACACTACAACACACAAGCACACACAAGCAAATACACACACTCACGTAGTGCACACGTGTACATATTAACACGGGGTAGTCAGCTTGTATTTAAGCAAGGCTGGGTTTATTTCAATGCAAATGAAAAAAAAACAATCCATTAGAACGCAGGGGCTGCATTTGCAGAAAGAACCGTGTTTGCATTCTGTACACTGCTGCCTTTCAGGTTACCAAGCCACGTCCAGCATTCTGAAAGTAGTGTTGTTCAAGAGTGATCTGTGACTGGTATTTGTGAGTACGTGTACTGCACTGAGATGTTTATTCTATAGTCAATGGATTGCATTATGCCTCGTTGCATTATTTTCGATCATGGTGCCAGTACGTCGTAAAGCACAGTACATTTGAAATATTACTGAAATGCTTTGTACTAAAAGTACGTTTTAATGGAGTCTTAGTGGTAGTGCAAATTAGCAGTAGTGTCAAATACAGTAGTAATAGCTATAAATAGTAGCAGTAGTTTTTTATTAGGCATGTAAAGATTACCCAGTGATTCAATGAAATGTCACAATTCTCTCTATTATATTCAAGAATCTATTCTTTTTTAGGTCTTATTTTTAATGTATTTAATCTCATTTGTGCAATTAAATTTTCTCAACATTAAGGTAATGTTTGCACATAATATGCAATGCCATTTAAGTGACAGATTCTTGCACGAAAGACTGTAGGCATGATTGAGAGAGTACGAATTCATTTTAATGAATAAATACATGATTACATGTCTAATACTTAGTGGAAGGGTTGACACTGGTCATGATGATTAAGAAGCAAGGAGTGTAAGCCTAACAAACTAAGAGAAACCCTTTCACCCCGCAGCCATGTCCTTGGAGTTCACTTTTTCAGCTTCAGCTTCTCCTTCTGCTTATCAGAGTCCTTCTTGTAGAATTGAGAGAACTCTGGCATGGGAGAGAAATGTAACTTCAAATGGATGGCATACGTACTGGTTTCCCTCGCTTTCTGAAGTAGATGCATTCCAAATGAGGGTGGACAAGGTAAACTTGCGTAGCGGAGACACATAACTCACAATGGACCGCAGGAGACAGCTGCCTGTCGAGTAGCGGAGATGTAGACACAATGTCGCATGTCCAACCACATAGCCGCATTTCAATGAATTCAAACCGGACATCGCAAATTTTGGGTATAAATATGTTAGCCGCATATACACGAAATCACACAAACCGAACCAGCATGAAGCAAGGGAAACCCTATATATATTACAAGAAGGCCCATCACTGATCGATGCCCACACCCAACCGGTATACCTAAATGACCCCACCCTACCTGAATGTACTGAAAATATTACACTCGTTCACTTACTTCTAAAATACAGTATAAAAGTTCGTAATGTTTAAACCACTTTGTTTTGGTCAAGCAACCTATTTCTGCAAGGCCCAACTCTAATTTTATTTAGATGTTCACATATACGACCTTGTTGCTTCCAATCAAGTCGGGTATGCGGTATTGTACTGTATCGTTGGTAGAAGGAAATGAAACAAAACAACCTGTGAAATAACCACAATTCGACCTTGAATTTCCTTAGAATGCTGTGGTTATGTGCTAAATTTAAAATGAGAAATAAAAGAACACAATTTACACTTGAATGTAAATTACAGGAGAGTGCAGTAGTGCAATGGACTCTCAAATGTTTGTGAACATTTGACTGCTGTTCCCTTGCATAAGCGTGATTTCTGTGGGTACTCCAATTTCCTCCCACAAGTGAAACAATAATTTATGTAAATGGGAAGATATTCCAGTTCAGGAGAGGGTTTGGAATATTTTCTTTGTAAATACGTGTCATGTTATAAGAATAGGTTTTCCCCTTTTTCTGGCAACAAAACAGGTGTTTGGATGTTAAAACACCAACCTGAAACCTTTTGCAAGGAATCATGTCCGCATTAACCACAGATACTTGTGGTGAAAATACAACAAGAAAAAACATGCTCTGACAGTATATGTATTGTCTTTGAAACTGATTGGTCCACACCAGAGAGCTTTCTTTCAAGCCAATCAGTTTCAAAGACAATGCATATAATGTTAGAGCATGTTTTTGTTTGTATTTTAACCACAAGTATCTGTGGTTAATGCAGACATGATTCCTTGCAAAAGGTTTTAGTTTGGTGTTTTAACATCCTAACACCTGTTTTTTTGCCAGAAAAAATGGGAAAACCTATTCTTATATTTTGACACTGGCGAAGGAGGTCCCATGACGTGCCATTTTTGTTCATATAGCAATTACTTTCCCTTGGCTTTGTCCTCTCTATCTTCCGTGAGTCCTATTATCCCCAGTGTAGCCCTTTAGCATCAGCGAGGTAGAGCATATATCATGGTCGCAACAAAGGCAGATGTCATTATGACTCACGGGCTATATCATGCCATCCTAAGTTTGTGTATGTCCCATTTAAACAAGGTAACAGCCCTGTGCCACGATCTTCCATAGACCATGGCCACACACCTTCGAAAGAGATCTTGCCATCTTTGTTTTTGTCCACAGTGCTGCAGTCTTGATCCACACCGTTCATTTCCAAGAATTCATGGTAGTCGGCAAACGAAATGAAGCCGTCGTTGTCCTGTTTCCGCAGAATGAGGATGAGACATTGCCTTGCTCGTTAATGGCAGCTTTGTGAGTGCTGGTGCAAATTAATGGGAAGGTGGCTAGTGGTCAAGACTAGCAACAGATTCACATCCAAGGGAGAAAATGTGTCTGATCTACCACGGATATATCAGTGATGAAATTAGCTTGTGTGCTGTTCATTGGTGGATTGGTATATCCAGAATTGTGAGTAATGGGTTTTTTACCGCAATGTCCCCATGTCCACGCTCACCACCTTCAACTCAAAATTATCAGTGTGGTGAAGTATAGTCAAATAACCCCAATCCGCAAGGCATGAGGAGGCTCTCATCCACTCATGCACGGAATTAATCAATCACAGCAATGGATGACCCTGCTGGAAACATCTTGAGACGAAGAAAGACTTTTGGTATGAATAATGGGTCTCACGATCATCCTTAATTTGGAGCTTTCGTGACTGCAGGAATGACTCTTTGGTTCTTTCGGTAAAGTCACGTATAAAGAGAAAATAATAAATTATTATTATTGGTAATATTTTATGTATTATTTTCTCTTTTCACGTGACTTTACCGAAAGAACCAAAGAGTAACTCATGATCATCATTATATCAGCTGGTACAGAGGTGAGTGTTGGCACTGATCAGGGATACAAGTCCCACAGTAGCTGAAGGGTCCCACAGGCTTGTGAGGGCCATGATCCAGCGATACACAACATGAAGCATGGAAATGCTGTGTGGAAATTGCACCTCTTAGAGGCTGCATTTCAACTGCCTCAGGTAAACACGAGGGAGATGAACTGAGACATCCATCTCGTGTCCAGGTGCCATGGCTTGGTCACGAGAAGAGTGAGTAGCTTCAGTCTTTAATGCTCATAGAACAGCAGAGCTAAGCACGACACATAAGAGCAGAGGTGCCAGCCCAGCGGTCGGGAACATATGGCTCGCGAGCCATATATGGCTCTTCTGGTGACGGCATATGGCTCCCAGACAATTTTGAGTTGAAAAAAATAATAATTTTAAAATAAAAATAAAATCAGTTTGGAACTGATTTTAAAATACTTGTGATATTGCTTAATAATACCGTGTCATTTTAAAGTAAACAGAAATTAGTTTTGAAGATAAAATTTCTCGGGTCACGGGTCCCGTGACCAGAAGTCGCATTAAAAGTAAGACATTTAATTTATTATACGTTAAAAATACTATATGGCTCTCAATGAAATATATTTAGAAATATTTGGCTTTTATGGCTCTCCCAGTCAAAAAGGTGCCCGACCCCTGTGCTAGCCCATTGGGGGCTCTAAGCATTTACGTTCCCTCCCTTTCAATTCGTAAATTCCCAAGTAAGAAAACACAGGATGTAGACAAGTGAAACATGAGATGTAGCAAAATAAGATAAGGTGGACAAAGTAATCAGATAAAAGAAGAGGATATAGATGCAACTGTCTTCACTCACCATGTCAATTGCTTCGAAATTAGCTTCCACCTGTGATTCCCTGTCCTGTTTTTCAAAACAAATCACAAACAAAACTTTTAGAATCTTAACATCATCATACGGAGCTGCGACACTGCATATTGGTCATTGTGCGAAGTCAACGTTGGGAAGTATTTTATTTCAAGAGACGAACAGATGTATATTTATTTATGCATTTCAGAATACTTCACAATAGAGTAGAATGTCGAGAGCCATTAACTGCAGCGATCCATTTTAAATTACATCCTGGGCCAATCGTGTGATTTGATCGTAGCTTATGACGATGCAAATAATCAACAAGCCATGAACAATTAAAACAAGTATTCTACGTTTGTCTGTACTGGATTCAATTATCGATTCCATGACTAGCGTATGGATATCAGTGTCCAAGGCCGATTTTTTTGATTCATAGATAATTGGTTAACAACCTTAAATGGTAACGGAAAATTATTTTTAGCATCATCATTGAGAGCATATTTGTCTCTCCAAATATAATATATAGAATGTTTTTTATACGAATATATAATATTTTTCCTATTTAATAGGTGCTCTCTAACGAAACGTTCGGTATCCGTGTGTATGTGAATGGCAATGCCAGGCATCTTTGTCGTGATGCTGCAATGAGTGTATTCCCTACCATGGCTGAAGTCGTTGGTGATCCGTGAGCAACTGGAAGGTCGAATCTGGAGCCGCTGATGTGAGGATCGCAGCGATGCGCGCACTTTTATATGCGAGCACCCAGGTGAGGGTGGGGCTCTCCAGGTGCGTGGGGCTGGGGAGGGGTGGGGCGGTCGTGGGGTTGGGGTGGTACATGTGCCTGTTAACATGTGGCTGGGAGAGGTGACACTGTGGGGAGCCAAGGTGGTGCATCTGCCAATCTTCTCGAATCTTCAACCCACGGAACATGGATGGATCTGCCCCGTGACCTGCCAGGGAGCCTTCGACACTTCACGTGGCCGCAATGTGCACCTAACACGTATGTATGCTGAGCTCTTTCTTCATTCTCAATGACAATAACACCCCTAGTTATGTTGCTTTATTCAACCTGTTACTCTGCTCACGTTGAGAAGGGTTCTTGAATGTAGAATCTAACCTATATAATTCATTTTTTGTCCGTCCGTCCGTCCGTCCGTCCGTCCGCGTACGCTCCCTACCGGGGGATTTAGCTCTCGGACCGTGGGGTTCGACGAGATTAAATTTTGCAGGTGGGCACGCCCCCGGCCCCGCGGTAAACTTAGGCATTTCCGATTTTTCGTCTCTAAACTTTAAATCGGACCGATTATCGATTTAGAGCGATTTATCTTTATTTATTTATATAACGCTTTATTTATTTATATACTCTTGCCGGCCGGCGCGGACCACGGCGGTTGCCCCTGGCAACGGGTAGACGCGTTCGCTGCGGGGTGGACGCCATTTTGAATTACCATTAAAAATATGCGCACGCATTAACACGCGATTCTGAGGTAAATTCATCAAAGTTTCACGTCCTCTTTACTCCCCTTCCACCCCAATGTGTGCAATTACTATTATAGGGTCGGTAGATAATAAAATTATAGCGATTAGACAGTATTATTGTAGCGCGGGGGGGGGGGGGGTATTGGCCCCAGTACGGAGCCTCTGCTGGGTAGGCAATCTAGGCAAGGCCGGAGGCTCTGTACGGTACTAGGCCTCGACACCCCACCCGTGTCAAGCGACGACTTTGTGGTATAAACTCAATATACCCGGCGTTGCCCGGGGGGAAAATACATTTAAAATCTTCTGAAAACTTTAAAACATTACATACCAATGAAAATACAAGTGTGTAATTACTTTTAAACCCGACGCGCCAAGAATCGATTCTCTGAATCGCGAAAAGGAATCGAAGGTTGTAGATTCCTTTAGATTCGGACGATTCCCGTTTACTATAAGTTGGTTAAAGTCGATATAAACTGCTACGAACGGGAAATATCCGGCGTTGACCGGGGCAAAAATGTTATTAAAAACTCCTGAAAACATTAAAACATAACATATCAATGAAAATAAAACTCTGTCGTTCAAAATGTAAACCCCCAACATGCCAGGAATCGATTCCTTGAATCGCACAAAGTACGAATCGAGGGTTGTAGATTCCTTTAGGAGGGGGAGAGTGGTGAGGGGGAGAGTGGTGAGAGTGGTGAGGGGGAGAGTGGTGAGGGAGAGAGTGGTGAGGGGGAGAGTGGTGAGGGGGAGAGTGGTGAGAGTGGTGAGAGTGGTGAGGGGGAGAGTGGTGAGGGGGAGAGTGGTGAGGGGGAGAGTGGTGAGGGGGAGAGTGGTGAGGGGGAGAGTGGTGAGGGGGAGAGTGGTGAGGGAGGAGAGTGGTGAGGGGGAGAGTGGTGAGGGGGAGAGTGGTGAGGGGGAGAGTGGTGAGGGGGAGAGTGGTGAGGGGGAGAGTGGTGAGGGGGAGAGTGGTGAGGGGGAGAGTGGTGAGGGGGAGAGTGGTGAGGGGAGAGTGGTGAGGGGGAGAGTGGTGAGGGGGAGAGTGGTGAGGGGAGAGTGGTGAGGGGGAGAGTGGTGAGGGGGAGAGTGGTGAGGGAGAGAGTGGTGAGGGGGAGAGTGGTGAGGGGGAGAGTGGTGAGGGGAGAGAGTGGTGAGGGAGAGAGTGGTGAGGGGGAGATGGTGAGGGGGAGAGTGGTGAGGGGGAGAGTGGTGAGGGGAGAGGTGGTGAGGGGGAGAGTGGTGAGGGGAGAGTGGTGAGGGGAGAGAGTGGTGAGGGGGGAGAGTGGTGAGGGGGAGAGTGGTGAGGGGGAGAGTGGTGAGGGGGAGAGTGGTGAGGGGGAGAGTGGTGGGTGAGAGTGGTGAGGGGGAGAGTGGTGAGGGGGAGAGTGGTGAGGGGGAGAGTGGTGAGGGGGAGAGTGGTGAGGGGGAGAGTGGTGAGGGGAGAGAGTGGTGAGGGGGGAGAGTGGTGAGGGAGAGAGTGGTGAGGGAGAGAGTGGTGAGGGAGAGAGTGGTGAGGGGGAGAGTGGTGAGGGGGAGAGTGGTGAGGGAGAGAGTGGTGAGGGGGAGAGTGGTGAGGGGGAGAGTGGTGAGGGGGAGAGTGGTGAGGGGGAGAGGGGTGAGGGGGAGAGGGGTGAGGGGGGAGAGTGGTGAGGGGGAGAGTGGTGAGGGAGAGAGTGGTGAGGGGGAGAGTGGTGAGGGGGAGAGTGGTGAGGGGGAGAGTGGTGAGAGTGGTGAGGGTGAGTGGTGAGCGGTGAGGGTGAGTGTTGAGGGTGAGTGGTGAGTGGTTAGGGTGAGTAGTGAGGGTGAGTGGTGAGCGTGAGTGGTGAGTGGTGAGCGTGACTGGTGAGGGAGAGTGGTGAGGGAGAGTGGTGAGGGAGAGTGGTGAGGGAGAGTGGTGAGGGAGAGTGGTGAGGGTGAGTAGTGAGTGGTGAGGGTGAGTGGTGATTGGTGAGGGTGAGTGGTGAGGGTGAGTGGGGAGGGTGAGTGGCGGTTGTTAGTGGTGATTAGTGAGGGATGAATGGTGAGGGTGAGCGGTGAGGTTGAGTGGTGAGCAGTGAGGGTGAGTGGTGATTGGTGAGGGTGTGATTGGTGAGGATGAGTGGTGAGGGTGAGTAGTGAGGGTGAGTGGTTGTTGTGAGGGTGAGTGGTTGTTGTGAGGGTGCGTGGTGAGGGTGAGTGGTAAGAGTGAGTGGTGAGGGTGAGTGACGGTTGTGAGAGGTGATTAGTGAGTGGTGAGGGCGAGTGGTGAGGGTTAGTGGTGAGGGTGAGTGGCGGTTGTGAGTGGTGATTAGTGAGGGGTGAGGGTGAGCGTGAGTGGTGAGGGTGAGTGGTGAGGGTGAGCGGTGAGGGTGAGCAGTGAGGGTGAGTGGTGATTGGTGAGGATGTGATTGGTGAGGATGAGTGGTGAGTGGTCAGGGTGAGTGGTGATTGGTGAGGGTGAGTGCTGAGCGGTGAGGGTGAGTGGTTGTTGTGAGGGGTGAGTGGTGAGTGGTGAGAGTGAGTGGTGAGGGTGAGTTGTGAGGGTGAGTGGTGATTGTTGAGGGTGTGATTGGTGAGGATGAGTGGTGAGTAGTGAGGGTGAGTGGTCACGGTGAGTGGTGAGGGTAAGTGTTGAGGGTGAGTGGTGAGTGGTGAGGGTGAGTGGCGGTTATGAGTGGTGATTAGTGAGGGGTGAGTGGTGAGGGTGAGCGTGAGTGGTGAGGGTGAGCAGTGCGGGTGAGTGGTGATTGGTGAGGGTGTGATTGGTGAGGATGAGTGGTCAGGGTGAGTGGTGAGGGTGAGTGGTTGTTGTGAGGGTGAGTGGTGAGGATGAGTGGTGAGGGTGAGTGGCGGTTGTGAGTGGTGATGGGTGAGTGGTGAGCGGTGAGGGGTGAGGGTGAGTGGTGAGGGTGAGTGCTGAGGGTGAGTGCTGAGTGGTGATGGTGAGTGGTGAGAGAGTGGTTAGTTTTGAGGGTGAGTGGTGAGGTTGAGTGGTGAGGGTTAGTGGAGAGTGGTGAGTGGTGATTGGTCAGTGGTGATTGGTGAGGATGAATGGTGAGTAGTGAGGGTGAAGTTGAGTGGTGAGGGTGAGTGGTGGTTGTGACGGTGAGTGGTGAGGGTGAGTGGTGAGGGTGAGTGGTGAGGCTGAATGGTGAGGGTGAATGGTGAGAGTGAGTGGTGAGTGGTGAGGGAGAGTGGTGAGTGAGAGTGGTGAGGGTTAGTGGTGAGGGTTAGTGGTGAGAGTAAGGGGTGAGTGGTGATTGGTGAGTGGTGAGGGTGAGTGGTGAGGGTGAGTGGTGAGGGTGAGTGGTGAGGGAGATTGGTGAGGGAGGTTGGTGAGTGGTGAGTTGTGAGGGTGAATGGTGAATAGTGAGTGGGAGTGGTGAGTGGTGAGGATGAGTGGTAAGGGTGAGTTGTGAGTGGTGAATGGTGAGGGTGAATGATGAGTACAGTCAATATGCACTGCTGTTATCATACCAGGTACCACCACCACAATATGTACTCCTCTCATCATAGCAGATACCACCACAGCAGTATGCACTGCTGTAATCATAGCAGGTTCCACCACAATATGCACTGCTGTCATCATAACAGGTACCAACACAGCAGTATGCACTGCTGTAGTGATAGCAGGTACGACCTCAGTCGGTATACATTGCTGTAGTGATAGTAGATACTGCTATCGAGTTGGTAGATACCGCTATAGTAAATACTAAAACAGTCAGTATATACCGCTACAGTCAGTCAATACTGCTACAGTCAGTATATACTACTATACAGTCAGTACATACTACCACGTGAGTAGCTACTAGAGTCAGTAGATACTATTATAGAGTGAGTAGATACTGCTATAGATTTTGTAGTTACTACTATAGTCAGTGGATACAACTATAGAGTCAGCAGATACTATACAGTTAGTCGTTACGAGTATATAGTCGGTAGATACTACTGTAGGCCCAGTAAATACTACTATGGTCAGTAGTTATTACAGTCACTAAATACTACTACACAGTCAGTAGCTACTACTGGCTCAGTTGATACTACTGTACAGTCAGTAGATACTACTACAGAGTCAATAGATACCACTTCCTCTGTTGTATGTAAGGTGTTGTTAGTATATATACCTACGAGGGGTAAAGATATTTTTTGAGGGGGGGGGGAGACCGCAATTTTCGGAAACCTTTTGACATCAACTATTTACCCCACACTTTCTACAACTTTTTGGACTTGTGAAAGCCTCTTATATATTTGTTGGTGGAGAAATGTACAAACAGCCCACCGGGCTTTGACAATACCTTAGTATCTGTGTGTATATATGTAAGGTTTTTAAGAAA